AGTGAGCGAAGCGGTTGAATAAAAATACATACCGCCCACCAGGCCAAATGTGTGACCGTGGGGCGCTTCGTTTGTAGGAACTACTACGAGTCTGGATTCAATGGCAAGAGGCTCACCAGCTGTCGGTACTCAATGACGGTCCCTGGGGAGCCCATAAGGCTGCAAGAAGATGCGGCAGACCCCGACACCAAAGGCGAGCCGCAGGAGAAGGGTCCGAAAAGGATACCGCATCAACGGCAACGCCGCTACGGCCAACCAGGGGCGCATCGAAGCGTTCGATTCGCTCGAATACGCAAGCGGTTCCCCTGGCCTAAACATGCCTTCAGGCCAGAGCGTACAGCAAAAGCCCTCACGCAAGGCACAGCCATCCTTGTATCCGCAGTCGTGCAATCGGGCGCCCAGCATCAGTACCAGCAAACCAGATGCAGGCTCCAGAAGCAGGATGAACATGCGGAAGTCGTCACACCGTCCACTCAGCCCTCCGCGCCACAAATCGTGACGAGTGAGCGGAGCGGAGCGAAGCGGAGCGGCGGCCAAACATCCGTTCAGCGGGACGGCCAGTCCCAACCTGCGTGAGACCCCGGACCCCTCGGGGGGTGCGTCCATCCTCGAGAGAGGCGCTTCAGCATAGACCCCCCTGAGTTTCCCATCCTCGAGAGGGGTGCATCAGCACATCCCCCTGTGTTTTGTGCGTTGTGTGTGTGTGTGTGAATGTGTGTGAATGATGTGTGTGTGTGTGGGGAGGGAGGAACCCCGGGATTTGCCAGGCGCGCGCCGACGTGGATCAGCGATCCGTGGAGCTGGCGCGAGGGCGCCAGATCCACGGATCGGGGAAGGCCCCCCCGAAACACGGGGCCAGCGCTGGGCCACTCGGCGGCAGGGCGCGCCGACCTCGCATGGGAACGGAGCCCGTCCCAGGAAGCACCTGCTGGGAGGTCTTCGTCGGAAAGATTAAGGAGGATTAGGCCCCACTGCGGGGCTGTTACGCCAGAGTGGGCGTCGGATGAAGCGGGGTTAAGCTGGATTCGGCGGGATCAAGCGGGATCAAGCGAGATGCAGCGGGATCAAGCCGGATTGAGCCGGACTTCGGACCAGGGCAAAATCAGAATTTGACCTCCCAGGAGTTGCATCCGAACCCGTCGCTAGCCCACACGCCTTGAATCGGGAGCGGCCAAGAAGGGAATATCCAAGAAGGGGGGTGCAACTCATGACCGGTGGCATGTGCGCGGCCCAGCGGGGGGGGCCAGGGACGTAATGAAACAAGAAGAGGCGCCATGAGATCTCGGGAAATATCATGGCCCCCGCCATGATATCCCCCCCCCCCTAGTCGTCACCCCCCTCTGTGCCGCCCCCGGGAGGAGGAGGAGGAGGAGGAGGAGGAGGAGGAGGAGGAGGAGGAGGAGGAGGAGGAGGAGGAGGAGGAGGAGGAGGAGAGGGAGGAGGAGGGGGAGGAAGAGGAGGAGGAGGAGGAGGAGGAGGAGGAGGAGGAGGAAGAGGAGGAGGAGGAGGAGGAGGAGGAGAAGGAGGGGGAGGAGGAGGAGGAGGAGGAGGAGGAGGAGGGGAGGAGGAGGGGGAGGAGGGGAGGAGGGGAGGAGGAGGAGAGGGAGGAGGGGGAGGAGGGGGATGATGATGATGATGATGATGATGATGATGATGATGATGAAGGAGGAGGAGGAGGAGGAGGAGGAGGAGGAGGAGGAGGAGGAGGGAGGAGGAGGAGGAGGAGGGGAGGCGGAGGGGAGGGGAGGGTGAGGAGGAGGAGAACGAGAAGGAGGAGGACTTCTGGGGCGCGAAGTCGCTCGCGACCTCTCTGGCCCCCCCACGGGTCGGGCGGGGGGCCGGCCAGCCCAGGGAGCGGGCTTTTGCGGGGGCGCGCCGCCTCAGAAGCGCTGGAACCCTGCGCCGGACTGCGCCTGGGGCCGGGCGAGGCGCGGGGGCCAAGGGGCGAGGAGGAGGGGGACGAGAAGCTTGAGGCGCGGAGGGGGGAAGGGGGGGAGGGGGGAAGGGGGGGAAAGGGGCAAAGGGGCGAGGAGGGGGGGGGGAAGGGGGGGAAGGGGCGGAGGGCGGAGGGGCAAAGGGGCGAGGAGGGGCGGAGGGGGGAAGGGGGGAGGGGGTCACAGGGGAGGGAGGGGTCGAGAGCGGGGGAGGGGGAGGGGACATGCCACGCAACGCCAAGCAGAACCAAGCAACTGCCAAGCAGGGCCAAGCAATGCCAAGCAATGCCAGGCTGACGTCGACGACACTGCCCCCGCCTTCCCTCCGTTGCAGGAGCCGAAAGCGGCATAAACAGAAACTGTCGGAACTCTGCGCGGATTCCTCGGATCGGCGCTGGGGCATCCCTGGCGGTGCTTCCGGCGCCGCCCTGGCGACAAGGATGGGGGTCCAGCGCCGATCCGAGAAATCCGCGGCGCGGCCCCTGAGAGGACGGCCCTCAAGAAACCCCCGACAGGCCTCCCGCGACATGCCAACGAGCACCCCAGAGGCATAGGACCCACAGCCCAGGCGCAGTGATGGGATGGGCCGAAGGCTATCAAGTGAAAAATCCTCCCTGTCGTGCACTGATCCGGGTCGGTAGGCCCGGACGGGCGTTTCACCTGAGACTTCCTCACCATTCATGACCCTGAAGCTTGAACTTCGCAGCAGCTTCACGGATCGAGGGCGGGTCGTTTTGAAATCGCCTTAGCGCCGCGCGCTTTCGTCTTCAGAGATGGTGGGGGTCTGGATGGGGATGGGGTTGGTGAGAAGGGCCGGTTAAACGATGCTGAGGGGCGCACCGAAAGAAAAAGAGGGGGCCATGACATCGGGGAAGACATCGTGACCCGAGCCATGATGCCCACGCCCCGCAATCCGTCTCCACCCCCCTTGGGCCGCCCACGATCGAGCATGGCGGACACCGGCCCTCCCCCTCCTCCTCCTCCTCGTCCTCGTCCTCCTCCTCCTCCTCCTTCTCGTCCTCCTCCTCGTCCTCCTCCTCCTCCTCCTCCTCCTCCCCCTCCTCCTCTCCTCCTCCTCCTCCTCGTCTCCCTCCTCCTCCCTCATCGTCTCTCCTCCTCCTCTTCCTCCTCCTCGTCCTCCTCTCCTCCTCCTCCTCCTCCTCCTCCTCCCCCTCCTCCTCTCCCTCCTCCTCCTCGTCCTCCTCCTCCTCCTCCTCCTCCTCCTCCTCGTCCTCCTCCTCCGCGAGCTTCACGGATGAAGGGTGGATGGTCTTCAAAACGTGGCTCTCGCGCGCGCTCCGCGCACATTCGTCGATGTTCATATCATTGTCTGTTCCCCGATGGCATCCTCGCGCCGGGATGAAATCACGACGGCATTTGATTGCCAGTGTTCGGCCTCTGGGGGCCCATGCCAGGGTCCAGGGCCTTCAAGATACGAATCGGGATGAGAAGCCAATCTTTGGGAAAGGGTCTAGGTCTCAAATTTGGGGGGCCTCTTGCGAGCATGCCATCACGTTGGATGTCTGGGTCAAACTTCTCCGTGACGAGGACGCGATCTCGCGAGCCTCCAATCTGGGAGGCCTGCCGTGCAACCCCCCCAGATCTGCCACGGTGACGGGCTCATCAAACAGAAGCACTCTGGCCGCCCGCCGCCCCCCTTCACCTTCCCGCCGCCCCCCTTCACCTTCCGGGCAAGGTCGGATTGGGCCTCCCACGGGTCGCAGCAGCGTGGCGGCGGGTGTACGCTCGGGGCCACCCATACTCGGGTCGGGCGAAAGGGGGGGATAGCAAAGGGGGGGTTTGAGAATCAGCTCACGTAGCTGATTTTCCCGGCGCCTCACGGAGGCGGCTATGTATCGAGGAATGGGCCCCTCGGTGAAGCCGAAACCAGCTGCATGCAGCAAATTTCGTAATCCCCCCTTTCCCAATCCCCCCCTTTCGCCCGGCCCGACATACGTGCGACGTCCAGCTCACGCGTCAGGGGGGGGGGACTGCGCCGGGCCTCACCAGGGGCGTGAGCAAGTCGCGGGCGACGGCCGGACGTTTGGCACGCCCCACGGGCGGGGCTGGGGTACTTCGCTGGACCACTCAGCGGCGCAAGGGCGGCACTTGCACGCCCGCGGAAGCGAGGCTTCCTGGGGTATGCCTGGGGCAGCTCTGCGCCGGACCCCCCCCTGGGGGCGCAGTGCAGTCAAGACGCTGCAGTAAGGACCACTTCGGGCTCAAGCGCGGCTCTGATTTCCGGAGCGCTCCTGAGGTCTGGGTCGGGGGCCCTATCCGTCACCGAGGCTCGATGTAGATGTGCGAAAGAAAATGACAGCAGGGGCGTAGTCGGCAACACCGCTGGCACAGAAGGTGGGGACAGAACACCCAGGGCGCAATTAGTCTGATCAGGACAAGTCTCTAGGCGGCGATGTCTCACTTGGATGCCCGTCGTGGAGCTGCACTGGTTGGCAGCACCTGCGGGGAGGGCAACGATTAACGTTCAGGTGACAACGGCGAGCCGCTCCGCGAACCCCCCAAGGGGCCAAGAACGTAGCAGCAGTGGCAAGTTTGGCAGCATCACGGAGAGCGATGCCTAGTTTGGATGCCCGTGGTGGGTCGATGCTCGGGACTGTGTGCTCAGCAGCAGCTTGGATGGGAGAAGACGAGCCTGGATGCCCATGGGCCCAAGGCGGGCCGCTCTGCTGGACCTCCCAAGGGCCCAGCAAGGGGCGACACGTGTAGCTTCTGGGCTCGCAGGTGCCCCGCGCAGAACCAGGGTCCTGGCTCGGATGCCCGTGGCGGGCAGCTGCGCCAGACCCGCCAAGGGGGGCGAGAAAATGGCATTTGTGCGTTGTGCAGCAGCCTGGGGGAAAACGATCTCTCTGTTTGATGCCTCTGGCGTGCCAGCGAGGGTCAACATGGCCATTCATTCTAACGCGGAGTACAAAGTAACATGGGGAACACCATACTCCATCTCAAATCCACACGCGAAATCTGTCACATCTCTAAGCTTCTAGGTAACTGCCAGGGAACCGCTATGTGCGACCTGCGAGGAACGTATCGATCACAAGGATGTGATATATTTTGCCCGACATGCCCACCACTTTCGCTCACAGCCGCGAGCGCGGCGTCCTCTCCAGCCTGCGCCAACTGGAAGCCTCTCCGTTCACGACAATGTCTTGATCCTGGTATTGAGATACCCCGAAGAATACGACGGTGACGGTAATGTCGTCTCGGTAGGAGCGGCTCTGCCCGGCCGGAATCGAGAGCAAGTAGGACAGCTCCTCGTGGTTCGCGCCGCCGAGGGCACTGCGCACCAGGTGGGTGGCGGCGTTGCGGTCCTCGGAACCGGAGGCAGGCCCGCCACGCTGGTCCATCCACTTCCCAGCCAGCTTCGCCACCTGGTCATTGCTGAGCCGCTCCCACAGCCCATCCGACGCCAGCACCAGGAAGTCCCCGAGTTCGGGCCTCACGCTGACCGTGGTGACGACCGGCTCCGCGGTCACGTAGGGAGGCGTCAGCAGATGCGGGTGAACGCGCCTTCCAGGGAGGACGGCCTGCTGCGTCTGCGCGTCCCACTTGTAGACCGCATCGCCAAAAGCCCGCGTTGGCTCCAGGTTGCCGAGCACGCGACCATTCCGGACCACTGTGGCGGCCTCGCCCGGGTGCTCCCTGCGCAGGCGCTCGACCTCGGCCCGGCAGGACCCCGTCTGGTCGGCGGAGAGCGCGATGGGCCCCCACGCGCCGCCGGCGCCTCGCCTGCAGAGGACGGCGCGGCTGTCGCCCGTGCAGGCCACCTTCAGAAGCTTCGAGCTCGAGTCGAAGAAGGCCAGGAGGCCACAGGACCCGCTGAGGGCCGGCCTCAGCGGATCCACAGCGGCAGCCCCAGCAGCCCCCGCGCCAGCGCGGACGCGCTCCAGGCTCTTCGTGCAGATCTCGTCATCGAGCTCGACGAACGCCCGCCGGATGCTCTCGTCCACCTGCTCGCTCGCGGGCGCCCCGCCCCTGTGCGCTTGCTCCAGCCTGGCGACGACGTAGGGCACGAGGTCCTGCCTGAGCCTCCTCGAGGTGGCGCCGCCGGCGTGCCCGTCCATCACCAGGCACTGCCACGGGGGGTCACCACCAAGGAGGTCACCACCTCCTCCAGGACATGGTCGCCCCTGGGACCCCGCAGAGCCCCCCAGAGACGTCCAAAAGCGTCTGCAGCTTCCTCGATCCTCGATGCTCTCGCCTCCTCGATCCTCGATTTCCAAGAGGTGGTGAGCCCCTTTGTGGTGACCCCCTTTGGCACTGTCCGGCCTCACGCCGAAAAAGCACCAATCTGCCCCCTGACTGGCGAGAATCTGCTCGACGTGCTCGTCCTCGACCGGGCTGTTGCTGGCCAGCCGCGACACGTCGTAGCGCACAACTCCTCGCCCACGGCGCACCAGGAAGCTCTCCTGGTCAGCCTGGAGGCGTTCGGTGACCTCCTGGGAAGTCAGCATCATTTGGGCGCCCTCGGTGCGCTTCTTGCGCCAACATGGCTGCGGCACGAACGGGGCCGTCGTCTGATCAGTGCCACGTGCTTCCACCACGGCTGCGGTCGTTCCAATGAACCTTGCGCGAATAATGACCCCCTGCCATCGCTGACGCGAAATGAGGAGGGACCGGGTTGGATGGATGGAGGGGGACCAGAAGGCAACATGCATGCTGCACAAAGAAACAGGGAAGAGAAACACAAGGACGAGGACGAGGAGCAGGATAATCAGCCATACACACATCAATGATGCTGAAAGGCGCCCTCCCTTCCCACTGTGCTTACCTTTTCGCTACCGTGCAGCAGGCACTGAACGAGGTGTCTTCGGGTTAAGCTTCGCAGTTTTTGCCTTTGTAGATACGACGTACTCATCAGTAGCATCAGATCACCAACTCACTAGGTTTACACGTTCCTGGACGATGTGCACTCGCGACAGTCATCCCACATCTCACATGTCAAGAAACACTGAAATTCAAAACACTTTCTCCGTCAGCGGCGAGGCGGCGAAATCCGGTGCAGCGAGCAGCTAGGTAGGAGCACTAACTAGCGAATTGGCCAGCGTGCAAGGAGGGAGGGGGACGGCCGAGAGGAAGAACAAGGACGCTCAGACGCCGAAGGATTCGACGATGAGTTGCCGGGCGGGCAGCAGCTGCGATTCAAGACACTCTGCCACTAAAATCGAGTGTCTTGGCGTAACGGAATCGTCACCCAGCTACGCTGGTCGGGAGGCTGCAAGGCCAGATTTCTAGGCACTTCACTACGCCAGGTTTCTGAGGCCCCCCTTATCACCCCCTTCCAACATTTACAGCCGTAGCAGGTGCGCACTCGAAGGACACATGCGTTCTTCCGCCTCACTCGCCTCTGGCTGCGCCTGCTTCCACGCTTTGGTGGTGCCTTGGTTACCTGTTTGCTCTGGAGCCTGGCACTCACACGATGTGCTTCTCGTTGCTGGTCAGCGGGCGCAACTCATCGCACACACTATAACATGGAGACTTGTCGCACAAGCACATCCATCTGTCTCTTCCACTGGTCTGCCTCGTGCCGTGGTTTCGGCAAATCCGGGTCCTGTTGCGGCTCTCTGTGCCAGTGGCCGTGTGGCAATCCAAGGGGGGGAGGTGGATGAGGAGGAGGAGGAGGCGGAGGAGGAGGAGGGGGAGGAGGGGGAGGGGGAGGAGGAGGAGGAGGAGGGGGAGGAGGGGGAGGGGGAGGGGGACAAGCTAGGTGCGCTGGCGTCATATCTGACGTCCCACCCCTCCCTCCCATCCCTTACGATGGCGCTGATTTTCTCTATCCGCGGACGCGTGTCGTAGCGGACCTGTGGCTCCGCGCGCGCGTGCGTAGTGGGTGGTGGTGCGCGTGCGTGCGTGCGTGTGTGCGTGGTGGTGGTGGTGGTGGTGGTGGTGGTGGTGGTGGTGGTGGTGGTGGTGGTGGTGGTGGTGGTGGTGCGGCGCGGTGGTGGCGGGCGGATGGGCGCGCGAGAAAGAGGCCCGCGCTGGGGCGAGAACGCCATCCTGAACGACGGAGGCCAAACACCGATCCGAAAATGAGGCCCACGCTGCAGCGGGAGCACGATTCGGAACGATTCGGGAGCAGAAATGAGGCCGGCGCCTCAGCGAGAGCAGCAGAAACGCAGGCGAAAACCCAACTCCCGGGAATCCTGTGTGTGAAAAAACAGTACGCGGGGGGGGTCGGCCACTCCCAGCACGCCATCAGGGGAAGAGGGAGAATAGTATTCATATTGAGTAATTGTGGAGGAGAAGGGGGAGGAGGAGGAGGAGGAGGAGGAGGAGGAGGAGGAGGGAGGAGGAGGAGGAGGAGGAGGAGGAGGAGGAGGAGGAGGAGGAGGAGGAGGAGGAGGAGGAGGAGGAGAGGGGAGGAGGACTGCCGCCTTGTCTGCGCGTCGTCGCCGATGCCACAGCCCGCGCGGCGTGGGCCGTCCCCAGGCACAGCGCTCGTGGCACGTGCGTGTGCAGCGCACCCGTGCAGGAAAGACCCGGAGGGGCACTGCAGGATTGCCTCGCGTCGTGCCCAGAGCACGGATTCGCACACAAAGGCTCCTGCCGTCTGGCGCTCCACGGGCGTGGTTGCCACCCGTGCTCTGGGCAGCTCTCCCCCGCCTTCTCGCAGGGAGGATGGGGAGAGGCCGGGAGAGATAGCTTGGCTCTTTCGTGCAGTCGTCATGGACGAGGGCGGGCCACCCTGCTCTACTCTTGCAGTTGCTGCTGCTGGTACTCCTCCTCAACGCCCTCGTCGCCCTGGTCGTCGTCGTCGTCGTCGTCGACCACTTCCTCCTCCTCCTCCTTCTCTTCCTCTCCCTTGCCTGCGATGGATTCACGTTGCGAGCGCCCGTCTGACCGCCCATGAAGCCGGCGTCGAAGTTGCTACCTGGCGGGCCCACAGGGTCGAGAGGCGCGGCACAAGAAGAGACTTACGGGCTGCGAAGGCGCATGTGGCTTTCGGGGCAAGGCGGGGCAGGGGGGTGCCGCGCAGAACAGGAATCTCCCTGGCGGGAAAGGGCGGGGGAGGAAGAGGCGGAGGCAAAGTCGAACGGGAAAGAAGAAGAGGAGGAGGAGGAGGAAACGAAGGAAGAGGAGAAGGAGAAAGAGGTGCTGGAGGAGGTGGAGGCACAGCGTGCGGAAGAGGTGGAGGATGTGGTGGAGGCGGAGAAGGAAGAGGAAGTGGGGCAAGCAAGCCCTTCGGCGTTCTGCACCACACCGCCCGCCCTTGAGAAGAAACACGCGTGAACATGCGTCGCCGTCTTTCTGAAGAAGCTGTGGCCGGAGGAGGAGGAGGGCGAGGAGAATGAGGAGGAAAAAGGAGAGCAGAGGGAAGCGTCGACATTGCTTTACCAGCCGCGGCCCAACCACTGTGCCGGCGCGGCAATCGTAATTCATCTCGTCATGAAGTATCCATGGCCGCCATGGTTGCCGTTCGCTGGATGACCGAATAACTACACAAACCAACTTGGGCCCGACACGTGCCCCAACCCAGCCGCAGCCCGAGTCCACTCTGGCACGCGTTCGTGCGGCACGCGGGCCAAGCGTGGGGATTCCCGCGACTGGAAGGTCTGGAGGCCCTCCTGGGCCGCCTCGGGCCCGTCTTCGCCTCGTCTGGCAACTCTCGGAGCCCCCTTCGGCCCTTCCTGGCGGCTTTTGGACTGGAGAATGTGGGGCAATGTTGAGGAGCAGATTGGCCAGACCGTCCCTGATTCTTGTCGGCACGTGTCCATCCTGTGTCGGAGCCACCTTTCTCCCTCCTGCCAAAAGCGCATCTCACATGGGCGGGCGGTGAACGCGAAGCGTTCTCAATCAGGAGTGCGCGGGGACCCTGGGGGGGGGGTCGCTCATCATCCAACGCCGCCGCCGTGGCGCTCACGGCGTCCCTGGGCGTTCTATCTGGCCATTCTCCTCCAGCAGTCGAACCTGTGAGGGGGCTCTCGCTCGGTCGAAAGCCGCCGCGCCAACTCGAGACGACACGCAAAACGACAGCGCCAGATTGGTGCTGACCGTGGGGGGCACGTCTGGGGCGCTGCGCCCCGAACGGGGGAACTGCTGCCCTCTTGCCGACTGGCGGCTGCCGTGCTGCTGCGGCTGCCTCGCTGCCGTCCTCCTCCTCCTCCTCCTCCTCCTCCTCCTCCTCCGTCCCCTCCTCCGTCTTCTCCTCCTCCGTCTTCTCCTCCTCCTCCTCCTCCTCCTCCTCCTCCTCCTCCTCCTCTGCCTGCTGCGAGGACACTGCAGGACGACAGCGCAATATGTTTGAGTCGAATCGACGGAGTGCCCAGTGACGTGGAGCCAATATAGCCCCTTTCGGCCTGGTTATATACAGGCCGAAGATGTCACGAACAAAACACACTAACACGTCCAACGTTTCACACCGACTAGTCGGTCACATCGTTGGAGAACGGTGCGCCATGGGCAAAACGTGCCTATGTTCTTGACGGGAGCTCCGTGCCATGCTTACCCAACACACCAATGCATATTCCCCACCTGCCGAGACGTTACGAATGGAATGGAATGGATGACGTGTTACGCGCTCACCTGTCCGCTTGGCGTCTTGGCCTTGACGTAGCCTGCGGTGCTTGCCCTTGCGAGACGCCTTTTGCCTGGTTCTGTCACTCTCTCATAGCCCGCCGGCCACGCGCTAAAAATACCACTGTCCAACAATTACGATCTGGGTGACGGAGATTCGACGAGGTGCGACGGTCGTCGTTACCGACACGACGGTTCCAGCAAGCCTCTCGGTTCACGGCCCACGTGCCTGAACTTCACCATCATAAGTGATCGAAGCCTGGGAGGTGAACGTGCCAAAAGCTGAATGTCACAATTGGCGCCGCGTTCCCTCACCTTTGGATGATGTCGCGCCTCTCTCGGAATATACTTAACATCGTTGGGTTGCACATCTTGGCGTCGACGTTCGTCTTGACGGACTGGCCCCTCTGCCTCGTCTCGAAGCTGGCGCAATGCACTGCCCGTCGGCTGAAGAACCTTCTGAACTTGACGGAGGGTGACTTTGCGGAATGGCGTAACGTTCGTGTGCCCGTTGCACATGACCCGTGGCCGCTCTCTGCTTTAAGTTTACTGCGCAGGCAATTGAAGCCAATCGCCATGGGGATACCTGGTCAGAGCACGCCGGGGAATGTCAATAACATGTTGACGCATCCGTCTTTTTGGATCTGAGGTACGTTGGTTGCGTGTGCAAGAATGCTCTCAAGGCTGGCCTCGATGAGCCCGCGCGGGGGACCGGCTGCTGACAAAAAAACCCTGGTGTTCACGGCAATCATCTGGGAACTGTGACCTAAATGCGATGATCAGTGACAACCAGCCAATAGTCGTGCTCTTCTCACCCGCGGTCGCTGACGGCGCCGTTCCAAACCTCCACTCCATGGAGACACTTCATTGGCAACGTCCTCCGCGGGGCAGCGGGCTGGAACCCGAACGGAAACTCAAAATCTTCGCATCCTTCGTCAGCCGCGCACCGTGCCATCCTACGATCGTTGGGGCAGAAGCCGC